CTCCTGTTCCCCTGAAATCCCACATCCTCCTCTCCGCTGCGCTCCAGACCTCCTGCAAAGCAAAGCCTCCAGCTTCCGCTGTTCCTCCTGTATTGCTGCTCTGACTTCCTCTGAGCTTTAGGAGAGCATGTGTGATATTATCATTAAATTCGTAGGAGCAAAACATGCAGAAATGAACGCTTAATTTAATGATGTATTAAAAAAATCCCCATCAGCGTCCATTAAATGTGCAGTTTCTGATTGAGATGAGAAATCTTCTTCCTGCTCTGTTGAGGAACCAATAGTTTGCATCCAATCTTTTAAATAAACTGTGTTAGTTTTATGAAATATATAAGAATTATGCTCTAATTAGTAGTTACCGATCTGTTGTCACTATATTTTAAATTGACAAACCGGATCTTCTCGCCGCTCTTTCTCCTGTTTGGTTCAGTTGCAATAGAGGATCTTGACCTGAGTGGAGCCTGAACATTTAGAGGATGTTTGGCTCAACCTGCTGCTGTGAAGCAGGATTCTCCACCATGAACAGAATCAACAATAAATCTGGATCCAGGCTCAGAATGAGCTCCTTAATATGTGCTTTAGAATGGCTTTGTCTCCATTCTAACCCAGGTTTAAAGCCTTGGAGGGCAGCATAAAGCCCACTGCCAGCATTAAGACAGAAAAAAGAAAACAGTCAGTTCAGCAAATTGTCTATATACCAAACTGAACGATTGTTGTTCTCTACTTTAGAAAACTGTTTATATCTTAATATGGAAAACTATTTTGTATTTAAAAATTCAATGTATAACATGGATGCAGAAAAACTTAATTTTATTTCAATGTTAAACTCTTTTTAAAGTAACCAGTGGTGTCAAAAGTTCACACATTTTTTACTTAAGTAGAAGTATAGATGCTGCAGTTTAAAAACACTCTGGTAAAATTTGAAGTATCAACTTGACCTCTTTACTCAAGTAAAAGTGAAAACGTATGTGCTCCAAAAACTACTTAAAGTATAAAAGTA